GATATCCCTGTCTCTGTGCGAGTTTGTTTATGTCCTCGTCTGTCTTTGGTTTATTTCGTTTTATTTTGTTTTGTTTTTTTACCGGCCCGTACTGCTGACCCTTGGGGTCCTTCCGGAAGGCTATCCCCCAGGCTGGTGGTGCGCACGTTCCACTATTTATTTATTTATTTGTTTCTGATTCTTTTGTTTTCTTGTATTTGATCGCTCTGCTAACCCTTGGGGTCCATTTTATTTTGGTATACCTTTTCTAGGTACGTTAGCCTGTGACCACGGAAATTGACCGAGTCAAGTGCTGGATTAGTACGGAGAGATTGAGACAGAAGGAGGTACTGGATAGAGAGACCGGGATGGTTTTTAATGTGAAGACAACAGCAACCAGACGATTCGGCTTTACCGCGGAACCCGCCCAACCTCCCATGGAGTTAGCAGAGCTGCATGACAAGCCGTTCGGCCCGCTTTGGTGTGGACCAATCTTTCTCAATACTTCGGACAACGGACCTACCCGGTTCTCGTCAACCACCGAAGGGCTTTTTGTTTGCGGTGTTCGCGGGTCTGCGAACATTGGTGTTGGATACATGTGCTGGATGATTTGGTGTCACGCAGACTGGAAAGATTGCCGTGTGGTAGGGGGCACCGCGATGATTCACGGGGCCCCTCCTTGCTGTGGGAGCCGCTCTTTGAGCACTCCCTCTTCCGTCTGTGTGAAGGACGGTCGTCTACCTCTCGTGAAGTTAATACATCACGACAACAGTCTCACCCAATAAATAAGTGGCGTGGGCCGCAAACACTCTGTAGTGTTTGATTACTCTTAAGAGCCGGAGTGTTTGCCGGGTATGCCCGAATTTGTGTCCAGTGACTAGAAAGTCTCGTTGATTTGCTGAGTAGATCCGCAGGACAAACGCACGACAGAATGAGGAGAAAGAGAGTGCCCCACACAGGCTGACGCAGGATGGGGGGCACCGCGGACTCATCCAAGTCTACCACAACAGGTACCACTGTAGTTCTCCCTTTGTCTACAGAGTACAGAACGGTCCTCAGATCCTTCCTACAGATCGATGTAGTCGACGCACAGACTTATTTCTTTGGTACCACGGGAAACAGGAAGATCATGCGGTCTCGACAGCAACAAACGGAGTGTCAAAATCTACTCCCGTGCGCGGCGGGGCGGGCTTCGTAGCTCGTTTATTGTGAGGACTTGTGTGTCCTGCTTGGAACATCCCGCTGAAGCGGATGAGCTAGCAGCGGAAATATGCACCCGGCTGCCCGGCTCAGGCCATGGACCGTAGGGTGTGAACTCTGCAGTGGTAGGCCTTCGTCAGTCATTCATGAACGGAGCATGATCGGTTCGTTCCGCTTGGGATCCAGTCTCCAAGGCGCTCAGTCTCTCCCTGTTCTCTCTGATCTGGTCGCCGTCCAGTCTGGGACCAGACGCCGTGGCAGTAGGCAGACGTTACCTTGGGTCGGACTCCCCCTGGGGATGATTGGTCTACATTGCAAGGCGCAGGTCGGGTAGACCAAACGATTTCCGAAGATTTCAATTCACAGGCAACAACACGAGGGCCGGTCGGAGGATAATTGTTGCGTGTCGTATATACCTAACCACAGATGACAACCGTAAGTGCACAAGGTGGGCACTGCTTGAAAGCCACCCCGCATTAAGCGCCAAACGGTTTCAACTGCCGCGATCGTTTAGACTCCAAACCCGCCAAAGTCCGGCAGGGGGCTCGTGCTCACCTGCATTCGTGTCAGGCGGTAGCTTCATGTTTGTAGGCGATGTAGATCGCATGTTCATTCTGTGAAACTGCAGGGAAAGAAACGTTTTGAGTGGCGGGGCACATTCACCGACACCGTGTTCACTGGGAAAGGCCGCATTTCCTCGGATTCACGGGAATTGTTCAAGAAAGAAACCCCCGACGTGTCGCAACACGTGCGATAGTGCTGCCTGCGGGGGCATGAATGGCATTGTAGCATAAGAACAGCCACCGGCAGCTTGATTTCGTCGCCATGCCACATGCGATTTCGATTTTCTCTACAGTACAAAAATCGTCATCGATGAATTATAATTCCGGCTTCAACAGGCCGCAAACAGCTTGGAGACCAACACTCGCGTGGCGAAAGCGGTAAAAATACGGCGAGTCTGTCCTTGCCAACGCATTTCATTTGAGCACGCAAGCTCGTGACTACGAAAACACATCAAATCCAAGCACGAGGTGCTATGATTGAAATGGGACCACACCGTCGTACAGCGAAGAGGGTTGTTCAAGGCAGCCCACGCCACGACGTGAGACAACTCATCTGACGGCATCATCTGGCCGACTGTAGCGCAGAAACAATGGAGACTGTTCACCGCACAATCTTTCATTCCAGCGCCGGTACACAGAAGACAAATCGGCCGCTAGGCAGATCTTCCGCATAGCGAACATTCACCGTCGGCACTTCCCTATCTCGTTTCTTGTCACATTCCAAACAGCAAACAGCATCTCCCCTCTCTCTCACCCGCATACAAATAACCACGGTCAGCAGCTAGCTGCGCAGGTACTGACTCACTACGGCAGTGCGGAACGGATTCTTCCCATCCGCGGCATCAATGTCAACACCACACGACACCATCAACCACGACATGAGTCGTACATTTCGGGCACTCATCATCTCCGGGTGGGGCAACGGCTATTTCCACGCGCCTAGGGTCTCTTTGCGCACTTCTTTACAATACGCAATCGTTCGCGCCATTCTCAGTACGCCATGTGGCCGTCTAACAGCCACCGCGCAGGCGGAGCACCAGGTGGAGGGTCGACTCCTTCTGGATGTTGTAGTCCGACAGCGTGCGGCCGTCCTCCAGCTGCTTGCCCGCGAAGATCAGACGCTGCTGGTCAGGGGGGATGCCCTCCTTGTCCTGGATCTTCTGCTTCACGCCGTCGATCGTGTCGGAAGGCTCCACGTCCAGAGTGATGGTCTTACCCGTGAGGGTCTTGACGAAGATCTGCATGCCGCCACGCAGCCGGAGCACCAGGTGGAGGGTCGACTCCTGCGCAAGGGAAAGGAACCAGGGAAGGACGAACAGAAGCCAAGGGTAAGTTGGGCGACACAACGCTTTTGGATGCCCTTGAAGCGCAACATGCGTGCACATTCCTACTCGCAATCAACATCGCAGTCCTGTATCAACATTCCGTGCGTCACCGCAATCGTTCCAATCCCGCACAACCTCACACATTTCAACTGCATCGATGTACCAACTCAAGCAATCGCCAACAAGTCCATCACTCCAACAATACGCACATGGCTAAATCCCTCGGAGGGACGTACTCCGTGGTAACGAGTGGTCATGGCTTACACTTCCAAGATCAGAGTGTATTTATCAACAAGGCCGGCCACACATGACGAAGGGAGAAGGGGCAGAACTCTTTACATACCAAAGGAAAATTCGTCCGCATGTAGCTATTTCGATTCAAAGAACAACGAATCATACCCACAGCCGAATTTGAGAAGCGACAGAGACACACGACCAAAACAAGCTCAACACACCTTCTGGATGTTGTAGTCCGACAGCGTGCGGCCGTCCTCCAGCTGCTTGCCCGCGAAGATCAGACGCTGCTGGTCAGGGGGGATGCCCTCCTTGTCCTGGATCTTCTGCTTCACGCCGTCGATCGTGTCGGAAGGCTCCACGTCCAGAGTGATGGTCTTACCCGTGAGGGTCTTGACGAAGATCTGCATACCGCCACGCAGCCGGAGCACCAGGTGGAGGGTCGACTCCTGCGCAAGGGAAAGGAACCAGGGAAGGACCAACAACAGAAGCCAAGGGTAAGTTGGGCGACACAACGCTTTTGGATGCCCTTGAAGCGCAACACGCTTGCACATTCCTACTCGCAATCAACATCGCAGTCCTGTATCAACATTCCGTGCGTCACCGCAATCGTTCCAATCCCGCACAACCTCACACATTTCAACTGCATCGATGTACCAACTCAAGCAATCGCCAACAAGTCCATCACTCCAACAATACGCACATGGCTAAATCCCTCGGAGGGACGTACTCCGTGGTAACGAGTGGTCATGGCTTACACTTCCAAGATCAGAGTGTATTTATCAACAAGGCCGGCCACACATGACGAAGGGAGAAGGGGCAGAACTCTTTACATACCAAAGGAAAATTCGTCCGCATGTAACTATTTCGATTCAAAGAACAACGAATCACACCCACAGCCGAATTTGAGAAGCGACAGAGACACACGACCAACAAAAGCTCGACACACCTTCTGGATGTTGTAGTCCGACAGCGTGCGGCCGTCCTCCAGCTGCTTGCCGGCGAAGATCAGACGCTGCTGGTCAGGGGGGATGCCCTCCTTGTCCTGGATCTTCTGCTTCACGCCGTCGATCGTGTCGGAAGGCTCCACGTCCAGAGTGATGGTCTTACCCGTGAGGGTCTTGACGAAGATCTGCAGATTTGGAGCCACGATACAACGTCGTTAAAACAGGTTACAATAGAAAAGAACATTTGATGCTGTTGCGTATACAAGCTGCGTTGGTTCAAACGGCGCATTCTTATCGAAAGGTCGCAGGTACATGCATGAATGTGAAGGGCCTGTACGTGAGAGACCATGCCGTAAAACAAGGGGCGCCTCAAACGAATATGCCCAACTATTTTCCCGCACATAACTGTTTGGCTTCCATATTTCCAAACATGATTGACCTTGTCCATTTTCTGGAACCTTTATTTTATTTTCTCAGTCTCACACAACAAATCCGTCCTTTCTATAGAAACAAGTCTTAAGATAGACTAGCAATGAATCCATAGCGTGAGCGAAAAGCGACCTGTTTGTCTACTGTTTCCATTTTTTTTGGGTGTCAGTTGTCGAAAGTTCCCCCTCTTCCTCGCGGCCACAAGTCGACGTTCTTGAGCCTACGGACATGGACATTTGGCATTTGGAAGCACAAAGCTGCTACATTTTTAGTACAATAACGGCCCGCTTGTGGTGCATGTGTACATTAGTTTCCTCGTCGTCATATTGTACGAATACCAAGAAGCTGCTTCGGCAAACACCCCTAATGTCTACTGCTATGCATAGTAGAGCAGGTCGGATCGAGGGGTGAAGCCAACAGGATATAGCGCAAAGGAAACTACAGGCCAGAGCAAGGGAAATCAGACCCGCATAATACACCTGTTACTGGTACAGTGGAAAATTAAAATTCCATAAACCCCAAAAACGATGCACGTCGATAACTTTCGACTGTTTTGGAACTGAAAAAATCTGAGACCATATTCGTGATCCCTGTTGAATTCTAAGCATGCTCGGAAAATGTGAGATGAATCAGAGCATATTTTAATTTTTCGGGGTTTCCACCCAGGCCTTTTCCGTTGCGGGGATGGTCCGGAAGGCATGCTTTTGTGTCGCGGAGAGCCTTTTTAGGTTTGTTACAGGTGTTCGACCAAGGTTTGCTTGCCCGTTTTATCGTGATGACTCCAGCCGTACATATTATAGATGATATCCACTTGGCCTCCATGCCCACGTCGATCGCGTGCATGAACTAAAAAAATAGCAACAACACCCGACAGCTTAATGAAAATTTCATGTGAGGCCACTTGTTACGCTGTCTTTTTCCAAAAACGAGGTGTTCGATTATTCTCGGAGGCGTTTGACGTGCGCGCGCCA